GAGAGAGAGAGAGAGAGAGAGAGAGAGAGAGAGAGAGCATATGTGCGTGTGCGTATAATACTAGTATACATTTTACTTTCTTGTGTCATTTTGTTATTAGGTATACGATGCACATATAGAGTGTTACTGTTGGCATCGCCGTCATGAGTCAGCGTCCTTGTGAGGAGGCTGATATTTATTTGCTAATAATTGCATGTATATTGTTATATTTTTATGTGTATTGTATCATAAAAACCGAATTTGTAGCTGTAACTATATACAGATGGTTGTTCTAATAATATATGCTTAAATTCATGCTCACGGTACACTGTATATGTAATAATATGTTTGTTTAATTACAGATTCTTGTAATTGTATATCACTAATTTAAGCTTATCATATTATGAGTGAGTATGGTATTTCGCCGCTTTTAGCAATATTCCAGCAATATAACGGCGGGGGACACCAGAAATGGGCTTCACACATTGTACCCATGTCGGGAATCGAACCCGGGCCTTCGGCGTGACGCGCGAACGCATTAACCACTAGGCTACCCGACTGCCCCCTTATAACATTATGTGTCAGGGTAGTATCAGCCTTCTCAGCGCCTTCCCCATATCCCTGACAGAACAGACGCACTAAATCCCATGAGCCCCCAACATGTATTCGTCGTCATTCCATAGACGTGATGCCGCTGTTACAAATATACACAGTTATGTTACACCTATCACGAACGTCGGGCCGTATCATTTCGAAACTTTCCAATTAAAAACAACAACAACAAAACACGTCTTCAAGGGCTATGTTGTCTGAATAGGCTTTGGGTTAGCATGACCTTCCCACAGATCTGACCTTGGCGTTCTGTCGTGCTTTGACTGACCGTGTGACACACCAAGGTAATTATTGCGTCTGTTGAACCACGAATAAACAAGATCAACTATAGACACGACTTCTCCATTGTTAACAAACAAAAACGTGTCTTCCATTCACGTGTTTGTAACCGATATGTGACCTAGATCTTCACTGTCGACAGCCTACAGGTAGCGATCCACCCGGACCTGATTAAATATTGCCTCTGTGTACACATACCGTCCACCCTCTTGTTGGCATCCAGGGTGCAGAGCGTGGGTCGGGTGGTTGTTATGGGTATTATTCACCACAAGTTGAATACCTTCATGTTATGATGACAGCATCTACCCCTATATTGCCACAGAGTTTCCGTACAGGGTCACACACTGTTTAGGAGTCTAAGGTAACACATAGGGGAAGGGGTCTCACTGACGTGACACCCAATGTCTACAACCAGGGAATAGATATATTGACTGATTCACCCAGGAAATGAAATGAATAAAGTTTCAGTCAATATACAAAACGATTAAATAAGGAGTGTAACTAATCTCAGTCTGTCTGAAGTCGAGGCTCATTATTCAGTCAGTACGTGTATTGTCTGAGCGAATCGGTCGATCAAAATATTGACTAAAATTTTAGAAACAACGTCAAAATAGTTTTCCTTCCTATTAAAACCCGCGACATTCACATAGCAACAAAGAATGGAACATTGACACTCTTTCCTCAACAACCTGTCATGCTGAACAGGTATCGATTGGCACACGTCTGCACGGTTAACGCCGCACTGATTGTGGACCAGTCAATCCAGGATGTGATGTGCAATCTATCTCAACACCAGCACACCACACCCCTGTCACTACCCCACCACACCCCTGTCACTACCCCACCACACCGCAGTCATTACTCCACCACACCCCAGTCACTACCCCACCACACCCCTGTCACTACCCAACCACACCCCTGTCACTACCCCGCCACACCCCTGTCACTACCCCACCACACCCCTGTCACTACCCCACCACACCCCTGTCACTACCCCACCACACCCCAGTCACTACCCCACTACACCCCAGTCACTACCCCACCACACCGCAGTCACTACCCCACCACACCCCAGTCACTACCCCACCACACCCCTGTCACTACCCCACCACACCCCAGTCACTACCCCACCACACCCCTGTCACTACCCCACCACACCCCAGTCACTACCCCACCACACCCCTGTCACTACCCCACCACACCCCAGTCACTACCCCACCACACCCCTGTCACTACCCCACCACACCCCTGTCACTACCCCACCACACCCCAGTCACTACCCCACCACACCCCTGTCACTACCCCACCACACCCCAGTCACTACCCCACCACACCCCTATGCAATAAGTCTTTATTCAGTCTTTATTCGTGGTACAGATGAGGCCTAAGGCCTGTAGTACATTGTCAGGGGCGTGTTACAAATTCATTCATTTTCTTAGTTTCATAGCTTGATACATGAACATAGATACATTTCTCATAGTGTCATTAATTTACATAACTTGTTACCGTTTGGGTTGTGGTAGAGATAGTTATTTAGATATTTTGTTCTAACATCATTACACACTCGACATACACATAAAAGTGATATTCATCTTCAAAACAATAAGTTTTATAAATCCTACAAAGTCTATGTTCTCTTGCAATACCTTCATATCTGCCTTTTTCAATAAATAGATCATGTGAGCCACAACAAAATGGAGAAAGAGCTGTTCTAAACTTATGTAAATTTACACTTAATAGATAAGGTTCTAGTATAACAGTTGTCTTAAATGTAGTGTAGTAATTTGCTTTTCTAGAACTCGACAAGGAACCATGCCATTTGGATGTACATATCTTTTAAGGCATGAGTCAAACGGGAGAAGAAATGCTGTGGCATATCTACATGTAGCTGTAACCAAATATAACCATATCTACCTGTTGCTGTAACCATATATAACCATGTCTACCTGTTGCTGTAACCAAATATAACCATATCTACCTGTTGCTGTAACCAAATATAACCATATCTACCTGCTGCTGTAACCAAATATAACCATGTCTACCTGTTGCTGTAACCAAATATAACCATATCTACCTGTTGCTGTAACCAAATATAACCATATCTACCTGTTGCTGTAACCAAATATAACCATATCTACCTGTTGCTGTAACCAAACATAACCATATCTACCTGTTGATGTAACCAAATATAACCATATCTACCTGTTGCTGTAACCAAATATAACCATATCTAACTGTTGCTGTAACCAAATATAACCATGTCTACCTGTTGCTGTAACCAAATATAACCATATCCACCATCATGTAACATGTTTTTAACGTCTACCCGTCTCTACCCCAGCACACAACACCAGCAGCACCCGTATACGCTTGCATTACTGATGGCGTCAATACCGGGTATTGATACAGGCATTCTAGGGCACTAATACCCACGGGTATCCTGCGACATCCCGGGTACAACCACAGACGCTGAAGGTACAGCACGGGTAGACTGCGACATTCCCGGGGTACAACCTCAGACGCTGAAGGTACAGCACGGGTACCCTGCGACATCCCCGGTACAACCACAGACGCTGAAGGTACAGCACGGGTACCCTGCGACATCCCAGGTACAACCACAGACGCTGAAGGTACAGCACGGGTACCCTGCGACATCCCGGGTACAACCACAGACGCTGAAGGTACAGCACGGGTATCCTGCGACATCCCAGGTACAACCACAGACGCTGAAGGTACAGCACGGGTATCCTGCGACATCCCAGGTACAACCACAGACGCTGAAGGTACAGCACGGGTACACTGCGACATCCCAGGTACAACCACAGACGCTGAAGGTACAGCACGAGTACACTGCGACATCCCAGGTACAACCATAGACACAGACCGGTACAGCATGAGTATGTGGAGTATTATTGACATACTGTTGCCTGTACCTATATACTTACCTATTTCTGACGCCGCCTACCCCGTAGCTGGAGAAGCCCTGGTGATATGACAATCTCGCATCCAGTAAAGCAGACCCTTGTTTACCCGTACGTGATGAGCTCCGGATTAAACGACAACTGTGGGTCTGTCAACTGGCGGTCTGTCAACTGCCTGTAGGAATATGTCCAGTGTTCTCAATGGCGAGAGAACGACGTCAAGGGGAATTCCCTATCTGAGTCCAGTGCGCATGCTCGTGAATAAACAGCTGATTACGGGACGATTCGCTTCCGAAGTCGTGGATTATGACGGTGTAAACGGTGCACACATGCAAGGCGTTGACAGGTGCGTTCGAGGCGACTTGGAAGAACACAGGTGAACCTTTGTCTGTCACTCCTTTCTTCCTATCAACCATTCAATCAATCAAGTTTATTTCGTAATTCAGGCACATGGCCCATAGTACAGTTGTAAGATAAATTATATTTTAGGTCACGTGTCCAGAGTGTCGCTGGCAATCTCATTTTAAATAATGTATATAAACATAAACCTATCAAACGTATCACTCCATAAATTATAGCTACTTTATCAAGCGTAGTACATTAATGTCACAGGATTTAAATAAATTTGCAAACGTGATATTACCTTTATATTATTTATGTAATGAGGTAAGAAAAGTATTTCTCAAGTGAATATATTTCTTACATACAAAAAAGACATGGTATTCATCCTCTACGAAATGAAGGTCACAGTCTTTACATATAGATTCTGTATGAGGTATACTTAACGATGACCTTTTGCGAATAATGTTGACTCAAAAGTTGTGAAGAGTCGAATTTTACACATTGCTCTAACTGATCGTTTGTCTCTGAGTACTGTTATGTATAAGTCGGGTTGCAGAAGAGATTTCATATTAGCATAATGCACTAAAAGATAGACGACTCTCAACTGTGGTACCATGATTGGAAATATATAAATCTCTTAAGCGTCTTCTAAATGCAGATAAAAACATGTTCTTATCACCAACATCTTGGAATAACCACACATACGCTAAACCGCTTTTAAATAACATGAGTCTCACACACGATGCCCAATTGACTTTTCCATTCTCATCTAAGCATAACATAACATTGGACGGGGTATCGACTTGCATTTATTCGCAAAATCTGAACCCAGTACTTAATTACCCTTATTGTATAAACATACAAGAACGTCCAGTTTCACCAGTATAGCTTATGTAAACGTGATGAATGAATGAATGAATGAATGAATACTCTTTATTTCCCCCAATGATTTGGAGAGTAGTACATACGATTACATTACATTATTTGACAACGGCAATGACAACATACATATAAATACAACAGATTGAGCTGGGTAAGCAGTAATGAAGTGATGCATGAAACTGTATTTACATGATGTGGGACATAGCTTCACAAATACAATATGAGCTGACATGTTTAGCCACGATACTCATGAATGTTGCCCAGCTGTCAAGTGTCATGTCCTGGACCACATCTGTAATGACACCGAGGTATGTCAGAACCTTGACGTCATCACTAGACGTGTCCTCAAGTCTGAGATAGGTGTCAAGGCTAACCTTGTCAAATAATGACTCACTAAGTACATTTCCCTGCTCCATAAGAGCGTCACAATAAAGCAATTGGTGCTTAACAATGTCATCACATTCACAGTTACAGACAAGACACAGTCATGATTTTACAGGTAATATGCCGAGCTTTACAAGAGCATATACAGGGGGGAAGCAATATCATACCATACACAAAGAGACCAGAGACGATGTGGGGCAAGGCGGGTGTGGATAGCACTAAACCTATACATGTATGGACGTTATTGCGAAAAATTTCTCCCATTCATATTTTCAGACTCACGCGTAGCTCGTTGTACCATGCTTTTCCATACACTCTTAGATGGAAATTCCCCAGAGTTGATGAGTTTACCTAAGACGCCTGAGAATCCATACTTTTGGGCCACATTTAGCAGATCATGTGTTATGGATCTGGCACTGTGTGAGAGAGTCGTGACATACTGGGATAATCTAAGATATAGAGAAAATCGGCTTCACAATGGTTGTGCCTGCTGCTCTACAGAGTCGTCCCAGAAAGAGAAGCTTCATTTTCTCCACCTTGCCCAGCATTGACTACAATCCTAGAACCTGAGTTGTAGCAGCTGTAGAGGATCTCCTGTGAAGGTTTTGGACTCGTCGTGCAAAGTAGCGCTGTAGGGTTTCCATCTCACTGATCTCACGGTTGTTGATATTAGGCCAGAGCTCACATGCGTAGAAGGCAGAGGAGAAGATCACTCGTTGCCAGATATTCGATGAAGGTACTGGGCTCAATCCTCCATCTCTAAGACCAACATCTCTCAGGGAGTTGATTGTCTGTCGCGCCTTAGCACAAGCTCTGGTAGTTCGTTCACTTGCTTTTTCCGTGTGTATCAGAGAGCCGGCATAAATCGTACTGCTTTGGATCTTCATTGTCACATCTCCAATTCTGAACACAGGTCTATTACAATGTCTTCTGTTATTGCTAAAAGACAAGACACAGCTGTTATTGGCGTTATACGTCAGTCTCCAGCGCCGAGCATACTGGTGGATAGTATCAAGAGACATTCAGTCCATGTACACTCGTACTCACAACAGTAGTGTCACCAGCCAGTACTACCGCCGGGATGTGCTCCTTACCAACAATTAGTCCACATTGTAGATTATCAAGCTGATATATCAGGTCATTAATATAGACTAGAAACATCCATGCTGAGAGCACGCGACCTTGTCCTACTCCTTGTTGGACATGAAACAAATCACTTGTCCTCCCATTGTATTTAACACAAGCACTTGCTTCTTGGTAAGATTGACGGATAATGTGCCATGCACGGCCTTTCACACCAAGATTGTATAGTTTCAGTAGCAACCCCTCATGCCATATCCTGTCGAAGACCTTTTTGTTATCCAGAAAGGCAACATATATATTTGAGTGTCTCCCTGGATGATAGGAAATAGCCTCTTTTAACACATATGTAGCAACACTGGCGCCATGCTCTTTCCGGAAGCCGCACTGGAGACGATGTGGGAAATCAGGATTAATAGATGTAGGACTCCAGTCTGTCTAGCAACAGCCTCTCAAATACCTTCCCAATCACGGATGTTAGAGTGATACCACGATAATTAGCTGAGTTGCATTTATCTTTATTATTCCCTTTGTAGATTGGAATAATAGTTCCAGTTCTCATCATGACAGGTGTGTAACAAGTACTGATCATCACATTGTAGAGTTGTGCCAGATGTATAAACAGAAGATTGTCAGCATCATGGAGGTGTTCTACAGAAATACAGTCCGGCCCAGGAGACTTATTCTTTTTCAGCCTCTTAACGGTTGATTTCACTTCATTAGATGCAATACTTGTCGTCGGGACTGGGTCGGTCTTTGATATGTTACTGTTTGCTATATTACAATCCTTTGATTTTGTTTCCTCATAAAAGTCCGTTTCAAACTCAGGCCTACCGAGAGGAGACGGCAGATCACCATAGTAATCAGTCCACATATTGCAGATGTCCTCGGGTGTGCTGGCCGTCTTGTCTTTATACTGTAGAGATGTACATGTTACATTAGTCTTCCTCTGTTTCCTGACAGTTCTAAAAAAATCACCAATGTCCACTTCACAGGCAGAGTTGAGCTCTGTATACTTGTGTCTGTCCCATTGCCGTTCGGCTTTTCTTTTCTGTCAACGGAAGTTGCATTTAGCTGCTGTATACTGTTTATAAGAGCCACGTGCATCTCCCCTAGGTTTACCTTGAGATATCCATTGTCGTCTAGCATGACGCATCTGGTAGTGGTAGTAGTCTAGACTAGATCCTCTCCAATAGGGTCGAAGGTATGGTCTGTAGTATCCTGTTGGGATGTACATTGCTGTTGACGTGTGGAGAGAGCTCACTATAGCATCAAAATAATATTCCACCATATCGCTGTCAGCATATGTCAAGTCTGGTAGGGTGTCACCAAGTATTTTGTTAACTTCAGAGGATTACATCTTCAGTTCAATGCCATTCGCCTTCTGCCATTTGTAAGTTGGGGGAATACATAGCTTTTGCTGTGTTAGGAACGTATCACTAAGGAATGATACCACCACTGGTGAATGATATGTATGATGTAAACCTAATGTACGTATGATGTAAACGTGGTGTACATATGATGTAAACGTGGTGTACGTATGATGTAAACCTAATGTACGTATGATGTAAATGTGGTGTACATATGATGTAAATGTGGTGTACGTATGATGTAAACGTGGTCTACGTAAGATGTAAATGTGGTGTACGTATGATGTAAACGCGATGTACGTATAATGTAAACGTGATGTACGTAAGATGTAAACGTGGTGTACGTATGATGTAAACTTGATGTGCGTATGATGTAAATGTGGTGTACGTATGATGTAAACTTGATGTACTTACGATGTAAACGTGATGCATGTATGATGTAAACGTGATGTACGTATGATGTAAACGTGATATACGTATGATGTAAACGTGTGGTACGTATGATGTAAACGTGTGGTACGTATGATGTAAACGTGGTGTACGTATAATGTAAATGTGGTGTACGGATGATGTAAACGTGATGCATGCATGATGTAAACTTAATATACGTATGATGTAAACGTGGTGTACGTATAATGTAAACGTGGTGTACGGATGACGTAAACGTGATGTACGTATGATGTAAACGTAGTGTACGTATAATGTAAAAGTGGTGTACGGATGATGTAAACGTCTGCATGTATGATGTAAACTTAATATACGTATGATGTAAACGTGGTGTACGTATGATGTAAATGTGGTGTACATATGATGTAAACGTGGTGTACGTATGATGTAAATGTGGTGTACATATGATGTAAACGTGGTGTACGTATGATGTAAACGTGGTCTACGTATGATGTAAACGCGATGTGCGTATGATGTAAACGTGATGTACGTAAGATGTAAACGTGGTGTACGTATGATGTAAACTTGATGTGCGTATGATGTAAATGTGGTGTACGTATGATGTAAACGTGTGGTACGTATGATGTAAACGTGGTGTACGTATAATGTCAATGTGGTGTACGTATGATGTAAACGTAGTGTACTTATGATGTAAACGTAGTGTACTTATGATATAAACCTAATATACGGATGATGTAAACGTGATGCATGCATGATGTAAACTTAATATACGTATGATGTAAACGTGGTGTACGTATGATGTAATTCTAATATGCGTATGATGTAAATGTGATGTACGTATGATGTAAATGTGGTGTACTTATGATGTAAACGTAGTGTACGTATGATGTAAACGTGATGCATGCATGATGTAAACTTAATATACGTATGATGTAAACGTGGTGTACGTATGATGTAAACGTGTTGTACGTATGATGTACACGTGGTGTACATATGATGTAAACGTGATGCATGCATGATGTTAACTTAATATACGTATGATGTAAACGTGGTGTACGTATAATGTAAACGTGGTGTACGGATGATGTAAACGTGATGCATGCATGATGTAAACTTAATATACGTATGATGTAAACGTGGTGTACGTATAACGTAAACGTGGTGTACGGATGACGTAAACGTGATGTACGTATGATGTAAACGTAGTGTACGTATAATGTAAAAGTGGTGTACGGATGATGTAAACGTCTGCATGTATGATGTAAACTTAATATACGTATGATGTAAACGTGGTGTACGTATGATGTAAATGTGGTGTACATATGATGTAAACGTGGTGTACGTATGATGTAAATGTGGTGTACATATGATGTAAACGTGGTGTACGTATGATGTAAACGTGGTCTACGTATGATGTAAACGCGATGTGCGTATGATGTAAACGTGATGTACGTAAGATGTAAACGTGGTGTACGTATGATGTAAACTTGATGTGCGTATGATGTAAATGTGGTGTACGTATGATGTAAACGTGTGGTACGTATGATGTAAACGTGGTGTACGTATAATGTCAATGTGGTGTACGTATGATGTAAACGAAGTGTACTTATGATGTAAACGTAGTGTACTTATGATATAAACCTAATATACGGATGATGTAAACGTGATGCATGCATGATGTAAACTTAATATACGTATGATGTAAACGTGGTGTACGTATGATGTAATTCTAATATACGTATGATGTAAACGTGATGTACGTATGATGTAAATGTGGTGTACTTATGATGTAAACGTAGTGTACGTATGATGTAAACGTGATGCATGCATGATGTAAACTTAATATACGTATGATGTAAACGTGGTGTACGTATGATGTAAACGTGTTGTACGTATGATGTAAACGTGGTGTACATATGATGTAAACGTGATGCATGCATGATGTTAACTTAATATACGTATGATGTAAACGTGGTGTACGTATGATGTAAACGTAGTGTACGTATGATGTAAACGTGATGCATGCATGATGTTAACTTAAAATACGTATGATGTAAACGTCGTGTACGTATGATGTAAACGTAGTGTACGTATGATGTAAACGTAGTCCACGTATGATGTAAATGTGGTGTACGTATGATGTAAACGTAGTGTACTTATGATGTAAACGTGGTGTACGTATGATGTAAACTTAATATACGTATGATGTAAACGTGGTGTACTTATGATGTAAACGTGGTGTACGTATGATGTAAACGTAGTGTACTTATGATGTAAACGTGATGTACTTCTGATGTAAACTTAATATACGTATGATGTAAACGTGATGTACGTATGATGTAAACGTTGTGTACTTATGATGTAAACGTGATGCATGCATGATGTTAACTTAATATACGTCTGATGTAAACGTGGTGTACGTATGATGTAAACGTGGTGTACGTAGGATGTAAACGTAGTGTACGTATGATGTAAACGTGGTGTATGTATGCTGTAAACGTGGTGTACGTATGATGTAAACGTGATGTACGTATGATGTAAATGTGGTGTACGTATGCTGTAAACGTGGTGTACGTATGTTAAAACCGTGGTGTACGTATGATGTAAACGTGATGTACGTATGATGTAAATGTGGTGTACGTATGATGTAAACGTGATGTACTTACGATGTAAACGTGATGCATGTATGATGTAAACGTGATGAACGTAGGATGTAAACTTAATATACGTATGATGTAAACGTGGTGTACGTATGATGTAAACGTGGTGTACGTATGATGTAAACGTAGTGTACGTATGATGTAAACGTGGTGTACTTATGATGTAAACGTGATGCATGCATGATGTAAACTTAATATACGTATGATGTAAACGTGGTGTACGTATGATGTAAACGTGTTGTACGTATGATGTAAACGTAGTGTACGTATGATATAAACGTGATGCATGCATGATGTAAACTTAATATACGTTTGATGTAAACGTGGTGTACGTATGATGTAAATGTGATGTACGTATGATGTAAACGTGATGTACGTATGATGTAAACGTAGTATACGTATGATGTACCAGTTTCCTTTGTTTTGATTTTGCACCGGCACAGAAATTCTGCTTGTTTTTTGTTTTTGTGGCCAAGTGAAGTTTTAAGTATTTGTGTATATGTTTCATTTCAGCTTTTAACTTTAGAGACAGTGCACTACAAAATCTTCGATACTGTAAGAGCAGCCCTGCACCCTGCATTTAACAATAGACCACTATACGGGGTCAGGCCAGGCTTTGACCCATGCGCTTGCACTCGGCAAAAGTTCCATTTCAACATTTAACTTTACAGATAGTACACTACAAACCCTTCGAGTTATACAAGCCCTCAATACAACGAGCCCTGCATTTAACAATAGCCACCTTGCTGAGTCAGGCCAGGTTCTGACCATGCGCTTACACTCAGCACAAGTTTCTTTTGTCTGTCTGCTTTAGTTTCTCTGGTCAGCTTACTATCTATTGTGTATGTAGTTTTAAACGTTTCGGTCAGGCATGTCTTACACATATGTTGAGGACATCTTCCCGAGGCAAGAGAGTAAACTGACTTTAAGAACTGGACTTTTATAGTCAGTTAACTCACTTGCCTCGGGAAGATGGTTTGAGGAAGTCATTTTGATCGGTTTGTTTAAAATTAACCCCTTGGTGAGTGCATTGAAACAATCATGATAAGCCCTGAAAATATAATATAAAAATCATAATTTATTTTTTCAAAAAACATAACATAGCTGGAGAGACTTCCGCCCGTATCCCCCTCAAGACATATATGATTGAAAGGACAGAGCTGCAAAACATACATATATATCACTTTTGGAGGGTCCGCCCGGAGAGCGGAAGGTCCGGGGTTCGATCCCCGGCCGCGTCATACCAAAAGACGTTAAAAGATGGTACTTGTTGTTACCCTGTCTGGCGCTCGACATTGAGGGGCTAAAACAAGGACTGGTCGGCTCGGAGTCAGTATACTGTGTCTGAGTGGGGTATTCATGTTAAACTGCGGCATGGTATCTCAGTGAGCTAGCACTATAAATCGGCATCAGTCCGGACTAGTACAAGAAGCCACAGACACACACGTGCATGCACGTCGCTATATAAGTGCAATAATCTTGGACGCGACGTTAAACCCAATTTCACCTCACCTCACTTTTGGAGGGTGGATATGGGCGCAAATCTCTCCAGCTGCATTATGCTTTTTTGAAAAAAGATTTATTTATTTATTTATAATGTTTATGATTTTCAGGGCTTATTATCACGATTGTTAACAATGCACTCTGAATAAACATGGCTGTCATCTGAACCTGCAATAAGCTTCGTGTGAGTGTTCCCCACCCACATCATACACGCTACTTCATTTTGTTTTGTAGTTGTTTGTTTTTTGTTTAATGACTGATGAGTACAGTATTCCAGGCGTACGGCTGTAAATAATCGGGTCTGGACCAGACAACCCAGTGACTGACATCAGCGGCATCGATCTCCCCACTTCGGATACGATGGCAACGGACGATCCATTTCGTCGTCATTGACAACCAGCTAGGTTGCTAGGGACCTACGTTGCTAGGGACCTACGTTCTTACCCGGAATCCCCACAGGTCGAACTAATAGTCGTCATTTAGCCGCTTAATGCCGAGCGCCAGGCAAGGTACAAAGTACCATCTTTACAGTTGTGGTATAACATAGCCAGGGACCCATACCCTCCGCTCTACCACTAGACCACGGAGGCGGTCGAGTACAGAAAGAGAGATATTTAATTGTCATGGCAGAACAGATATGTTTTAATGTTTGAATCGTGAGTTGTGATATTTCAAAACGCGGAACCTGTTTCTCTTTCTGCTTCTTCAACACGTGATATGTTCACAGGACTTCCTGGAATGAAGGAGTGAGTGAGTGAGTGAGTTGGGTTTAACGCCGCTTTTAACAGTATTACAGATAAATCAGGGCGTGTCAGCTTAATGTGGGTGGAAAGTGATGCAGGTCTCAGACGTTTACCACTTCCCTGAAACCCACGAGCATGGGTATGGTGCTGACAAACCTAGAAACATAATCAGGGCCAACAGGGATTCGAACCAACAGTCAGTGAGTGAGTGAGTGAGTGAGTGAGTGAGTGAGTGAGTGAGTGAGTGAGTGAGTGAGTGAGTGAGTGAGTGAGTGAGTGAGTGAGTGAGTGAGTGAGTGAGTGAGTGAGTGAGTGAGTGAGTGAGTGAGTGAGCATGGTTTTATGCCACTTTTGGCAATATTCCAGCAATATCATGTCAGGAGACACCCGAAATGGGCTTCACAAATTGTATCTATGTGAAGAATCGAATCCGGGTCTTTGTTGTGATGAGGAAACGTTTCAGCAACAAGGCTACCCAACCGTGTTACCCAACCCAAGGTTACAGATGTAAAAGGACAAAAACTTCAGCAAGAGATTTGTGAAGCTTTATTCTATTGTGTACAACTGATGGACTCCACATGTTGAACAGCATTGCAGGTGGAGAGGGGGGGCGGGGGTCTCCAGACATCTCACACTGCAGGTGGTGGAGAGGGGGGCGGGGGTCTCCAGACATCTCACACTGCAGGTGGTGGAGAGGGGGACGGGGGTCTCCAGACATCTAACACTGCAGGTGGTGGAGAGGGGGGCGGGGGTCTCCAGACATCTCACACTGCAGGTGGTGGAGAGGGGGGGCGGGGGTCTCCAGACATCTCACACTGCAGGTGGTGGAGAGGTCTCAAACCTCCTGCATGAGCTAACACACTTATGTTACTTTGTCCAGTTCATATTTACGGTAGTTATGGTATCAGGGGGCAACTGCTGAGGGGGTAACTACCAAAGGGGTAACTACAAAAGAGGTACTGCTGAGGGGGCTACTTATTTAGGGGGCATTGCTGAGGGGGCTACTTATTTAGGGGGCACTGCTGAGGGGGCTACTTATTTAGGAGGTACTGCTGAGGGGGTTACTTATGTAGGGGGCATGGCTGAGGGGCTACTTATTTAGGAGGTACTGCTGAGGCAGCTACTTATTTAGGGGGCACTGCTGAGGGGGCTACTTATTTAGGAGGCACTGCTGAGGGGGCTACTTGCAGAGGGGGAAACTATCGAAGCCGTACTGCTGAGGGGTGCTACTTATTTAAGAGGAATCTGGTGAGGGGGCTACTTATTTAGGGGGCACTGCTGAGTTGGTATGCTGAGGGGACACTGCTGAGCGGGTATGCTGAGGGGGCACCTGTTTGGGGTGGTGGGGAGGGGTGGGGGTGGGGATGTGGGGTTGGGGATGGAGGGTGGTGAGCTGGGAGTGCAACTTCTAAGGACTAACAAAGGAGTACACATCCTGAATGGTGAGTGAGATGTTTCTGCCATAAAGGGCTCATTTGCTGAATGACAACTGGCATCTCAAGACAATGCTATCTGTCCACTTCACTAAAGCAATACTGAGCAACAGATTTCACAGAAAACACAACCCTGACAACTTGATGACAATTGCTGAGAAACAAGAAATTGTTGTGTTATAGGAAAATAGACAAAATCATTAATATTGTTCCAGTGTTGAAAAATACATATCAACATATTTGCATATTGTTTGGTAAAAAATACTGCAGTGTACTCAAATTACATAACATACACACTATTCACATCTTGTTTCAGTACTTTAGTGGAGAAATGACATCAGTTGACTGACCAGTAGAATACATCACACTTCACCATCAACACATCGCAGCGGTCACTACAAGGACACGGTTCATAGTTTGGTTTTCAGAGGAATCGATGCCACCTAAACAAGGGAGGTAACCCTGATCACATTTTTATTTTCTTCTCTGCAATGTATTTGAATCCATTTAACTGCACCGGCACACATCTGAAAACTTCTTCATCAAAACCATATTGTACTACTGTACCTGGCCTGCACTGAACACACTGCACTAATAATTTAACAAAGTGAATACTCATTCCTGTACAGAAAGAGATTATCTGACACATTTTTCAAAACCATCTGATTTACACAGATGCAAGCATAATATAAATAAAATTCACAATTTCAATTTTATCCTTTGTAAACTCTGATACAGCCGTAAAGTCATACAGTTGTAAAGTCATACAGCCGTAAAGTCATACAACCATAAAGTCATACAGCACAGCATGGCACTACAGTCGTAAAGTCATACAGCCATAAAGCCATACAGCCGTAAAGTCATACAGCATGGCACTACAGCCGTAAAGTCATACAGCCGTAAAGCGATACAGCCGTAAAGTCATACAGCCGTAAAGCCATACAGCCGTAAAGTCATACAGCCGTAAAGTCATACATCCGTAAAGCCATACAGCTGTAAAGTCATACAGCCGTAGCCGTAAAGTCATACAGCTGTAAAGTCATACATCCGTAAAGCCATACAGCCGTAAAGTCATACAGCCGTAAAGCCATACAGCTGTAAAGCCATACAGCCGTAAAGTCATACAGCCGTAAAGCCATATAGCCGTAAAGTCATACAGCCGTAAAGCCATACAGCCATACAGCCGTAAAGTCATACAGCATGGCACTACAGCCGTAAAGCCATACAGCCGTAAAGTCATACATCCGTAAAGTCATACAGCCGTAAAGCCATACAGCCATAAAGTCATACAGCCGTAAAGTCATACAGCATGGCACTACAGCCGTAAAGCCATACAGCCGTAAAGTCATACATCCGTAAAGTCATACAGCCGTAAAGCCATACAGCCGTAAAGTCATACAGCCGTAAAGCCATACAGCCGTAAAGTCATACAGCCGTAAAGTCATACAGCTGTAAAGTCATACAGCATGGCCATACGTGGATGATGCGAGGCTCTCAATCATGCCTTCAAATAGATTCCAACAATAAATACGCAGCCCTTCCCACCACAACAAAACTACAGGTTGCCAGGTAACACCAACAATGAACAGTGAACAAACTCCAAGATTGTCGATATGATCATGATTATTATAACCATGGTGATATGATGATTGTTGTTATAAAATTAAGAAGTGCCATTGGCTTCAGGAAGCAGCACACAGACAAATCACACACGCAATTCAATATAAAACACACTGGGGAGTGTCCACATGGCAGGCAACGTTCAAACAATGACCCCAGTCGTGAGTGAGCCACCACACCACATATGAGGGATGAGGAGGAAACACACTTCATCAGCCTCAGAAACAATTTGTCAGAATTATATGACAGAAGACAATGTGACACAGATTGTTAATATTTAGGATTTGAGACCACTATTATCAGATCCAGGAAAGGCAAAGGGACACAACTCTGCATGGCAAGTTGCCTCACATGTCAAGGTTATAATATTAATTCCAATAACTGCTCTTCTGAATTTATCCCCAACTATGAAATTTAAGAATCATGACAAATTCTCTCCAAAAAAATCAAACTCAACAAGGTGTGTGTGTTTGAGTGTTGTATGCCGACAAAGACACTCTATGGTATATACAAGGGTTATTGCATGGGCAGCATTGCCTCCTAGAGGTCAACTTCACCAGACTCACTGATTGGTTTTAGAGGTTGACCTTTGACATAACCTTGACTCTCAGATTCATTTTCTGACTCGGTGACACTCCCACTGTGGACGGTGTCGATATCTGAGTTCTCCTCCATGCCGGAGAGGTTTGTGTTGGATTCATCCACCCAGTGCTGTATTCGGTCATTGTCACTGAGCTTCATGCGGGTCTGGCCGGGCACGGGACTCTCGCACGGCTTCGTCACGTCGGCCTTGCATCTGTCCATCCCTATCATGTCTGTCATGATCGTTGAGCTCCCGTCTCCAAGCGTCCGTGATGAGTGGGTTGACATCACCTCGCTTCTATCCAATGTGCGCCCAGAATGTTGAGAGAGAATTTCAGCACTGAGATCAAAGTTTCCTGTGTGGATTGAGTCGATGTGCGGCAGCTCTTCCACCGTGTCTGATGCATGCTGGGAACTTGCTGTGTCATCACTTTCTGAATACTCGTCCTCTTCCTCTTCCTCATCATCATCCTCGGAATCATCCGCATCCTCGGTTTCATTTTCAGCCTCGCTTTCACCGGGACCAGCCTCTCTATCATCCTGAACTGGACTCTTCTCATTGGCTGACGAGGGAACCTTGACCGGGACCTCCGAACAGTCTTCAGTGTCAGCCTCGTTCCCGTCATCGATCTCATCCACCGGCGACTGAAAACTTGGGGAAACTTTCACTTCAGTATGAAGGCCATTTCCTACAATAAGATAACTGCTTTTAGGGACGTCCTTAACAATTTCATAACCCTTGCTGTCTGTTTCGGGCTCGGAGTGGGGGTAGTTCTCGGAGATTGGTTCGGAAAGGATGCTGCTGGTGAAGGACATGACGCTGCACCCGGACGGGGTCCGAGAGTGTCCCATGTGGGCGTAGATGTGGGTGGTGCCCCGGTGGGGGTTGTCCTCCATCTCCTTCTCAATGCACAGGACCATCTCATTGTACGCCTGCCGCGCCTTCTCCGTGTAGTCCATCAGCTTGTTGAACGTCTCCTGAAACACCAGGGAAGAAAGGAGTGAGTGAGTGAGATGAGTGAGTATGGTTTTACGCCACTTTTAGCAATATTCCAGCAATACCACGGCGGGGGACACCAGAAATGGGCTTTACACATTGTACCCATGTCGGGAATCGAACCCGAGTCTTCAGCGTGACGAGCGAACGCTTTAACCACTAGGCTACCCGACCACCCGACACCAGTGAGTGAGTGAGTGAGTGAGTGAGTGAGTGAGTGAGTGAGTGAGTGAGTGAGTGAGTGAGTGAGTGAGTGAGTGAGTGAGTGAGTGATATAACGTTGTGTCAACTTGATGTGGGAGGAAAACCCGTAGCGATGTAGGTCTCCGACATTTACCACACGAGAACACGTATGGTGCTTCAAAACCTCAAAACATGATCGGGGAGATCCGGGATTGGAACCCACAATCATAGGTTTCTGACTACCCAAAGGACTCTACACTCTACACAGCAAATGTCTGTGCCTTAGATGACTGGGCAACCAGCGATAGAAAGTGGCACTAGTCTTATAGGCCTTGCCATCCTGACCAATAGTTAAGGTATGATAAGGACGAGTAGAATTTTGCCATTTTTAAGGGTTTAGCTATATGTTATCATTATAGTGAGTGAGTTGGGTTTAACGCCACTTTTAACAGTATTCCAGTTATATCGCGGCGTGTCAGCTTAATGTGGGAGGAAAGCCCGAAGTGATGCAGTTCTCAGACGTTTACCACTTCGGTGAAACCCACGAGCACTGGTATGGTGCTGACAAACCTAGACACATAATCGGGGGGTGGGGGGAACCAAGATTCGAACCCACAATCATAGGTTTCTGGCGTGCCCAAGAGACTGAACTCTGCACAGCGAATGGCGCCTCAGAAGACAGGGCCACCTGGGCCACCCGTGCCCCCTTGTTATCATTATAAGCACTAGAGTACGAGAACAGTTATTATCCCCAGCAGCCTGAGTTACGTGATGCTGTACACCATGGAATTAATGCAATGATCCACACTTTCGGGTTGCAATGCAGACAATCCAGTGATTGATATTGTCAGCCTTGTTAAAAAGGGCTAGGTCACTTGATGTGAAACACTTGCTATTTGATGAGGAAAGACAAAAATTCTCTGTATATTCATTGATCAAAAGGGTATTTGAAATAATCTTCAACACCAAGGCTCTTTCCATTGCTACGTTCAATGATGAAGGGGAGGTAACTCCTATATAAGGTGTTCAGTTTAGGTTCCAACAAGATTACCTCCTTCTTTGATAGGCATTTAGAAGTTGGAGTACTAAGTAAGGATAAGAATTTATGGATAAACAACTTCTTTATTACAATTAAGAGTGACGTTTCGGTGTAGGTGCTAACACCTTTATCAGGCAAGTGATAGACAGAGTGTGGTAGACAAGTGTATATACACAAGTAGGAGGCAATGTTTATACAGTAGAGTAGATATTGTTATACTGGAGTGGAGAGGCCTGTTTTGTATACACAAGGGTAGTGATGACAATCATCTTAATTGTAATAAAGGAGTTGTTATCCTTACTAAGATTACCTCCCTTCACTTGGATACCTCAACCCAATACATATGGTGTTTTAAACAATCGGTTTCCCTAGCAACTATTGTCTTTTCTCTTCTCCCTATCTCAATATTGTGTATTTACCTGAACATACGATTTTCGCAAGATTGTTGCTGATGTTCTATATTTCCTCCATTTCTTGAAGTGTTAGTCTGTCTACAGACCCAGATACACATATACCAAATACAGCCCATGCAAGTCTATAATGTTTGGCAAAATGACAAGTTGTTTCAGAGACTAGATGTTAGTCTAATGAAGTGTAGAAGTTATGGACGAATAACATTTATAGGATAAGTAAAGATTTTAGACAGCATGGTTACACTTACAGATGGGATTTTCATCTCAACACATCACCGAGAATATATATATACTGTTGCCCAATCTAACTCTGCAGTAGAAGACAAGGGAGGTAACTCACCTCACAGCCGTCATAGTTGAACACTCCCGCACAGCTGACGGGGACCAGCTTGGCACAGGCGCGGCCCAGGGCGCGGCGACCCAGGGCGAACACGAAGGGGATGTTCTGATCCTGACACATGTTGAGGATGTTGTTGAGGGCATCGTCTAGTCCTCCTGCAGCACGGATAGTTCAACGTCATTTACAGTGTCACACACATATATATATTGCGTATGTGTTGTATAACGTGAGTCATATGTGTATATGTGTGTTATACTCCTCGTCAGATGTGTATATGTGTAATACGTGTGTCATATGTGTTATATCGTGTGTGTCATATGGGTAAATGTTAGATTGCGTGTGTCAGATGTGTATATGTTATACTATATGTCAGATGTGTATATATGTAATAAAACGTGTCAGATGATGTGTATATATGTAATGACACATGTGTCAGATGTGTATATATGTAAAAAAATGTGTCAGATGTGTTAATGTTATACTATATGTCAGATGTGTATATATGTAATTAAACGTGTCAGATGTGTATATATGTAATGAAACGTGTCAGATGTGTATGTATGTAAAAAAATGTGTCAGATGTGTTGATGTTATACAACGTGTCATATATGTGTATTTATGTATTGTTCAACATGTGTCACATGAATATATGTAATATAACATGTCTGATGTGTATAGACGTGTTATGTCATATGTATATATGTAAAACAACATGTAAGATGTGAAGATGCTTGTACACGGGACGGACATGCATGCATGAAAGGATGCAACTTGGTGAGACTGGGCCACTGGGTTCCCGAGACACTGAGGACAAATAACCTGAGGCGGGTTCAACAACTTGTCTGCTGGTGTGAAACCAGTGAAAAGTCAGACACCCAATATGTACAGTGAATATAGGATCCCATTTGACAGATACGTCACAACGCCGTTATCTGCATCCGAGAACTCGGACTTGTGGACTGTGGGCTTGTGTTTAAACTAGACTGATGTGATGACGTTACCTTTAGATCTGCATCCGAGAACTCCATCACGGAACCCTAACATGGAACAAAACGGTGGACTTGTGTTTAAACTAGACTGATGTGATGATGCTACCTTTAGATCTGCATCCGAGAACTCCATCACGGAACCCTAACATGGAACAAAACGGTGGACTTGTGTTTAAACTACACTGATGTGATGACGCTACCTTTAGATCTGCATCCGAGAACTCCATCACGGAACCCTAACATGGAACAAAACGGTGGACTTGTGTTTAAACTAGACTGATGTGATGATGCTACCTTTAGATCTGCATCCGAGAACTCCATCACGGAACCCTAACATGGAACAAAACGTTGGACTTGTGTTTAAACTAGACTGATGTGATGACGCTACCTTTAGACTGGATCTTCTCCAAGTTGGGCGAGATGATGACGCACTTGATCTTCTTTAGCTTCAGGTGCTTCGTCACCTCTCGCAGCCCCAGCACCAGCCTCCGCCGCACCTTCGCCTACAACAACACCGATGTTAAACTAAATATATATAATTACAAAACAAGAAACCGGTGGTTACTGTTTTTATCAAAACGAGCGTATTTCAAAACTTGGAAATATGATGAAGCTGCAAGGACCCCTGATGATGATGGTAACCGTGGTTATGCCTGGAATGTGTTTGGGTGATGTTTCTTTTAAAGCTTGAATATGTTCTGGGATCATTTGCACACCAGGATCCAACGAGAAGGATGAAATGTATAGTGTGAGAAAGGAGAATTCTTGAAAATATATTTTATGAGCAAAAGCAAGATACTTAATGAAATAGGCTGCAATAAAAACTGTAACTGTGACGACAGTATTTATTACCAAATTAAATTTCTGGTATAAGGGTGTGAACGAATACAACATTCAAGCTGTTTATTGACTATAGACTGTTCTCGCAAGGAAAAAATCTAGCAATACTACTGCTGTCTACTGCTGTACCCCAGGTCTGTCTACTGCTGTTCCCCAGATCTGTCTACTGCTGTACCCCAGGTCTGTCTACTGATGTACCCCAGGTCTGTCTACTGCTGTTCCCCAGGTCTGTCTACTGATGTACCCCAGGTCAGTCTACTGCTGTTCCCCAGGTCTGTCTACTGCTGTACCCCAGGTCTGTCTACTGCTGTATCCCAGGTCTGTCTACTGCTGTTCCCCAGGTCTGACTACTGCTGTACCCCAGGTCTGTCTACTGCTGTATCCCAGGTCTGTCTACTACTGTTCCCCAGGTCTGTCTACTGCTGTAACCCAGGTCTGTCTACTACTGTTCCCCAGGTCTGTCTACTGCTGTAACCCAGGTCTGTCTACTGCTGTATCCCAGGTCTGTCTACTGCTGTTCCCCAGGTCTGTCTACTGATGTACCCCAGGTCAGTCTACTGATGTTCCCCAGGTCTGTCTACTGCTGTATCCCAGGTCTGTCTACTGCTGTTCCCCAGGTCTGTCTACTGCTGTAACCCAGGTCTGTCTACTGCTGTATCCCAGGTCTGTCTACTGCTGTTCCCCAGGTCTGTCTACTGATGTACCCCAGGTCAGTCTACTGATGTTCCCCAGGTCTGTCTACTGCTGTATCCCAGGTCTGTCTACTGCTGTTCCCCAGGTCTGCCTACTGCTGTTTACTGCTGTTCCCCAGGTCTGTCTACTGCTGTACCCCAGGTCTGTCTTCTGCTGTTCCCCAGGTCTGTCTACTGCTGTTCCCCAGGTCTGTCTTCTGCTGTCTACTGCTGTTCCCCAGGTCTGTCTACTGCTGTACCCCAGGTCTGTCTACTGCTGTTTCCCAGGTCTGTTTACTGCTGTTCCCGAGGTCTGTCTACTACTGTACCCCAGGTCTGTCTACTGCTGTATCCCAGGTCTGTCTACTGCTGTACCCCAGGTCTGTCTACTGCTGTTCCCAAGGTCTGTCTACAGCTGTCTACTGCTGTACCCCAGGTCTGTCTACTGCTCTTACCTTGACAGGGTCCTTGTGGAACATGCGGTCCTGGAATCGGACCAGGTCCTGGAGGAACTCTGTGCAGCACATGTCGATGTCCTTGTCCAGGACCTGGTTGCAGTATCTACAACAGGAGGCCATGGTCAGCAAGCTTTCTTTACTTAGCACAGAACCTTACACTCTGTACCTGTGATTGGGTTAAAGAGTTATTTCCCTTTGGGATTAAACAGATTTACTCTGAACCTGCAACTGCGACATCAAAGAGTTATCTCCCTTAGTCCGTAGAGAAACTTACTCCCTGGACCTGCGACTATGTTCAAGAGGTATCTCCTGTGGTACACTTCACTCTCGATCTGCAACTGTGTTATAGAGTTATCTCCCCTTTGACAGTGTGGCGACTTACTCTCTGAACCTGCGACTGTGTTATAGAGTTATCTCCCCTTGGACAGTTTGGCAACCTACTATCTGAACCTGCGACTGTGTTATAGAGTTATCTCCCCTTGGACAGTGTGGCGACTTACTCTCTGAACCTGCGACTGTGTTATAGAGTTATCTCCCCTTGGACAGTTTGGCAACCTACTATCTGAACCTGCGACTGTGTTATAGAGTTATCTCCCCTTGGACAGTGTGGCGACTTACTCTCTGAACCTGCGACTGTGTTATAGAGTTATCTCCCCTTGGACAGTGTGGCGACTTACTCTCTGAACCTGCGACTGTGTTATAGAGTTATTTCCCCTTGGACAGTGTGGCGACTTACTCTCTGAACCTGCGACTGTGTTATAGAGTTATCTCCCCTTGGACAGTGTGGCGACTTACTCTCTGAACCTGCAACTGTGTTATAGAGTTATCTCCCCTTGGACAGTGTGGCCACTTACTCTCTGAACCTGCAACTGTGTTATAGAGTTATCTCCCCTTGGACAGTGTGGCGACTTACTCTCTGAACCTGCAACTGTGTTATAGAGTTATCCCCCCTTGGACAGTTTGGCAACCTACTCTCTGAACCTGCGACTGTGTTATAGAGTTATTTCCCCTTGGACAGTGTGGCGACTTACTCTCTGAACCTGCGACTGTGTATTTTCATCATGGCCTTGAGGTCCTTGCTGTGTCCGGTGATGGGGCTGTTGACGCCAGAGCTGAGGGGGCTGGCCCCGGGGGACAGGGGGCTCATGGAGATCGGTGACGTTTGGCTGATGGGGGACAGGTCGGCACTGGTTGAGGCACCGTTCCCCAGCTCCATCGAACTCTTGGAACTCAAACCTGTCAAATGAAGTGGAATAAGACAAGACCAGCACAGGCTGCTGACACCCGAGTCCACCCTGAGAACCAACAACGGACTCTCTCTCACTCTCACTCACTCACTCACTCTACAGTTCCTGGCCCCACTTACCGTCTTGAGACAGGTCACTCTCCGCATTGACGACACCGATACCCACGGGAGGCCTGGTGAGGGAACATAGAGAAGCATATAGTCTATACCAAACATATAAATCAAACACACTCACACACACAACATAAGAAACACACACACACACAAAACAGCAAACACACAACAACAAACACATAACAGCGGACATACAACAGCAAACATACAACAGCAAACACACAACAGCGGAAACACACAAAACAGCAAACACAACAGCAAACACAGACACAACAGCAAACACAGACACAACAGCAAACACAGACACAACAGCAAACACAGCGGACACACACAAAACAGCAGACACACACAAAACAGCAAACACACAACAGCAAACACAGACACAACAGCAAACATACAACAGCGGATACACACAAAACAGCAAACACAGACACAACAGCAAACACAGACACAACAGCAAACACACAGACAGCAGCAAACACACAGACAACAGCAAACACACAACAGCAGACACATAACTGCGGACACACACAAAACAGCAAACACAACAGCGGACACACAACAGCGGACACACAACAGCAGACACAACAGCGGACACACAACAGCAAACACAACAGCGGACACACAACAGTTGACACAACAGCGGACACAACAGCAAACACACAACAGTTGACACACAACTGCGGACACAACAGTTGACACAACAGCAAACACAACAGCTGATTTACAGCATCACACATACAACAGTACACTCACACAAACAGTACACATTATTATAAAGTTACATATTAGGCTCAACAATAACCAAAATGTAACAAATTGTTTGTACAAATTGTTTGCATCGTGTGAGCTGTCCATCCATCTAACCCTTCTTACTCTGCTATATGCAGCCCTGTGGGGTCGTTGTCATCGTCCAGCAGACGCATCTTCTTCTTCTGCTCTCGTTCCTTCAGGATCACCTATGGCACAAAGGTCAAGGTTACAAGAACACCAACATTGAGGGAGGACAATGTTGAAGAACGCCGACATTGAGTAAGGACAAAGTTGGAAGAACGCCAACATTGAGTAAGGTCAAGGCTGAAAACATGCCAACATTGAGTAAGGTCAAAGTTACAAGAACGCCAACATTAAATAAGGCCAATTTTACAAGAACGCCAACATTGAGTAAGGTCAAGGCTGGAAGAACGCCAACATTGAGTAAGGTCAAAGTTACAAGAATGCCAACATTAAGTAAGACCAATGTTACACAAATGCCAACATTGAGTAAGGTCAACTTTTCATGAACGCCAACATTGTGTAAGGTCAACATTACAAGAATACCAACGGTGCGTTGGTGAAGTGAAAGGTTCCAAGAATACCAACATTGTGCTTGTGAAGGAGGACAAGATAAGAACCATGGAAAGTCAACTTGGATGGAAGCCAGAAACGTAAGTTGTTATCTGGCTTCATTGCATTATTTCACTGCGTGTCAAGTCACATTCAGCGATATTCCAGCTATATTATCAAGGCTGGACCAGACTATCTAGTGATTGAAATTGACAAAACAATTCATGTCTTTTGGGTACCCAATCAACCAATTCACTGAGTCGAACCACACAATTCAACTGGTTACCTATTGCGACCAGCACAAGTTGTTGGGGACCGAGCCTAACTACACAATTCAACCGGTTACCTATTGCGACCAGCACAGGTTGTTGGGGACCGAGCCTAACTACACAATTCAACTGGTTGCCTATTGCGACCAGCATGGGTTAATGGGGACCGGGCCTAACTACATGATTCAACTGGTTGCCTATTGCGACCAACATGGGTTGTTGGGGACCGAGCCTAACTACATCATTCAACTGGTTGCCTCTTGCAACCAACACAGGTTGTTGGGGTCCAAGTCTAACTACATGATTCAACTGGTTGCCTCTTGCAACCAACACAGGTTGTTGGGGACCGAGCCTAACTACACGATTCAACTGGCTGCCTCTTGTGACCAGCACAGGTTGTTGGGGACCGGGCCTAACTACACAATTCAACTGGTTGCCTATTGCGACCAGCATGGGTTAATGGGGACCGGGCCTAACTACATGATTCAACTGGTTGCCTATTGCGACCAACATGGGTTGTTGGGGACCGAGCCTAACTACACAATTCAACCGGTTACCTCTTGCGACCAGCACAGGTTGTTGGGGACCGAGCCTAACTACACAATTCAACCGGTTACCTCTTGCGACCAGCACAGGTTGTTGGGGACCGAGCCTAACTACATGATTCAATTGGTTGCCTCTTGCGACCAACATGGGTTGTTGGGGACCGAGCCTAACTACACAATTCAACCGGTTACCTCTTGCGACCAGCACAGGTTGTTGGGGACCGAGCCTAACTACACAATTCAACCGGTTACCTCTTGCGACCAGCACAGGTTGTTGGGGACCGAGCCTAACTACATGATTCAATTGGTTGCCTCTTGCGACCAACATGGGTTGTTGGGGACCGAGCCTAACTACACAATTCAACCGGTTACCTCTTGCGACCAGCACAGGTTGTTGGGGACCGAGCCTAACTACATGATTCAATTGGTTGCCTCTTGCGACCAACATGGGTTGTTGGGGACCGAGCCTAACTACACGATTCAACCGGTTACCTCTTGCGACCAGCATGGGTTGTTGGGGACCGAGCCTAACTACACAATTCAACCGGTTACCTCTTGCGACCAGCACAGGTTGTTGGGGACCGAGCCTAACTACACAATTCAACCGGTTACCTCTTGCGACCAGCACAGGTTGTTGGGGACCGAGCCTAACTACATGATTCAATTGGTTGCCTCTTGCGACCAACATGGGTTGTTGGGGACCGAGCCTTACTACACAATTCAACCGGTTACCTCTTGCGACCAGCACAGGTTGTTGGGGACCGAGCCTAACTACATGATTCAATTGGTTGCCTCTTGCGACAAACATGGGTTGTTGGGGACCGAGCCTAACTACACGATTCAATTGGTTACCTCTTGCGACCAACACAGGTTGTTTGGGACCGGGCCTAACTACACGATTCAATTGGTTGTCACTTGCGACCAACATGGGTTGTTGGGGACCGAGCCTAACTACATGATTCAACTGGTTGCCTCTTGCAACCAGCACAGGTTGTTGGGGACCGAGCCTAACTACACGATTCAATTGGTTACCTATTGCGGCCAGCACAGGTTGTTGGGGACCGAGCCTAACTACATGATTCAATTGGTTGCCTCTTGTGACCAACATGGGTTGTTGGGGACCGAACCTAACTACACGATTCAATTGGTTGCCTCTTGTGACCAACATGGGTTGTTGGGGACCGAGCCTAACTACACAATTCAACCGGTTACCTCTTGCGACCAACATGGGTTGTTGGGGAACGAGCCTAACTACACGATTCAATTGGTTGCCTATTGCGACCAGCATGGGTTAATGGGGACGGGCCTAACTACATGATTCAACTGGTTGCCTCTTGCAACCAACACAGGTTGTTGGGGACCGAGCCTAACTACACAATTCAACTGGTTGCCTATTGCGACCAGCATGGGTTAATGGGGACCGGGCCTAACTACATGATTCAATTGGTTGCCTCTTGCGACCAACATGGGTTGTTGGGGACCGAGCCTAACTACACAATTCAACCGGTTACCTCTTGCGACCAGCACAGGTTGTTGGGGACCGGGCCTAACTACACAATTCAATTGGTTGCCTCTTGCGACCAACATGGGTTGTTGGGGACCGAGCCTAACTACATGATTCAATTGGTTGCCTCTTGCAACCAGCACAGGTTGTTGGGGACCGGGCCTAACTACACCATTCAATTGGTTGCCTCTTGCGACCAACATGGGTTGTTGGGGACCGAGCCTAACTACATGATTCAATTGGTTGCCTCTTGCGACCAACATGGGTTGTTGGGGACCGGGCCTAACTACACGATTCAATTGGTTGCCTCTTGCGACCAACATGGGTTGTTGGGGACCGAGCCTAACTACACAATTCAACCGGTTACCTCTTGCAACCAGCACAGGTTGTTGGGGACCGAGCCTAACTACACGATTCAATTGGTTGCCTCTTGCGACCAACATGGGTTGTTGGGGACCGAGCCTAACTACACGATTCAACCGGTTACCTCTTGCGACCAACATGGGTTGTTGGGGACCGAGCCTAACTACACAATTCAACCGGTTACCTCTTGCGACCAGCACAGGTTGTTGGGGACCGAGCCTAACTACACAATTCAACCGGTTACCTCTTGCGACCAGCACAGGTTGTTGGGGACCGAGCCTAACTACATGATTCAATTGGTTGCCTCTTGCGACCAACATGGGTTGTTGGGGACCGAGCCTAACTACACAATTCAACCAGTTACCTCTTGCGACCAGCACAGGTTGTTGGGGACCGAGCCTAACTACATGATTCAATTGGTTGCCTCTTGCGACCAACATGGGTTGTTGGGGACCGAGCCTAACTACACGATTCAATTGGTTGCCTCTTGCGACCAACACAGGTTGTTTGGGACCGGGCCTAACTACACGATTCAATTGGTTGTCACTTGCGACCAACATGGGTTGTTGGGGACCGAGCCTAACTACATGATTCAACTGGTTGCCTCTTGCAACCAGCACAGGTTGTTGGGGACCGAGCCTAACTACACGATTCATTTGGTTGCCTCTTGCAACCAGCATGGGTTGTTGGGGACCGAGCCTAACTACATGATTCAATTGGTTGCCTCTTGTGACCAACATGGGTTGTTGGGGACCGAGCCTAACTACACGATTCAATTGGTTGCCTCTTGTGACCAACATGGGTTGTTGGGGACCGAGCCTAACTACACAATTCAACCGGTTCCCTCTTGCGACCAACATGGGTTGTTGGGGACCGAGCCTAACTACACGATTCAATTGGTTGCCTCTTGCGACCAGCACAGGTTGTTGGGGACCGAGCCTAACTACATGATTCAATTGGTTGCCTCTTGCGACCAACATGGGTTGTTGGGGACCGAGCCTAACTACACGATTCAATTGGTTGCCTCTTGCGACCAACACAGGTTGTTTGGGACCGGGCCTAACTACACGATTCAATTGGTTGTCACTTGCGACCAACATGGGTTGTTGGGGACCGAGCCTAACTACATGATTCAACTGGTTGCCTCTTGCAACCAGCACAGGTTGTTGGGGACCGAGCCTAACTACACGATTCATTTGGTTGCCTCTTGCAACCAGCATGGGTTGTTGGGGACCGAGCCTAACTACATGATTCAATTGGTTGCCTCTTGTGACCAACATGGGTTGTTGGGGACCGAGCCTAACTACACGATTCAATTGGTTGCCTCTTGTGACCAACATGGGTTGTTGGGGACCGAGCCTAACTACACAATTCAACCGGTTCCCTCTTGCGACCAACATGGGTTGTTGGGGACCGAGCCTAACTACACGATTCAATTGGTTGCCTCTTGTGACCAACATGGGTTGTTGGGGACCGAGCCTAACTACACAATTCAACCGGTTACCTCTTGCAACCAGCACAGGTTGTTGGGGACCGGGCCTAACTACACAATTCAACCGGTTACCTCTTGCAACCAACACAGGTTGTTGGGGACCGGGCCTAACTACACAATTCAACAGGTTACCTCTTGCGACCAACACAGGTTGTTGGGGACCGAGCCTAACTACACAATTCAACCGGTGACCTCTTGCAACCAGCACAGGTTGTTGGGGACCGGGCCTAACTACACAATTCAACCGGTTACCTCTTGCAACCAGCACAGGTTGTTGGGGACCGGGCCTAACTACACAATTCAACCGGTTACCTCTTGCAACCAGCACAGGTTGTTGGGGACCGAGCCTAACTACATGATTCAATTGGTTGCCTCTTGCGACCAACATGGGTTGTTGGGGACCGAGCCTAACTACATGATTCAATTGGTTGCCTCTTGTGACCAGCACAGGTTGTTGGGGACCGAGCCTAACTACACGATTCAATTGGTTGCCTCTTGCGACCAACATGGGTTGTTGGGGACCGAGCCTAACTACACGATTCAATGGGTTACCTCTTGCGACCAGCACAGGTTGTTGGGGACCGAACCTAACTACACGATTCAATTGGTTGCCTCTTGCGACCAACATGGGTTGTTGGGGACCGAGCCTAACTACACGATTCAATTGGTTGCCTCTTGTGACCAACATGGGTTGTTGGGGACCGAGCCTAACTACACGATTCAATTGGTTGCCTCTTGCGACCAACATGGGTTGTTGGGGACCGAGCCGAACTACACGATTCAATGGGTTGCCTCTTGTGACCAACATGGGTTGTTGGGGACCGAGCCTAAATAACACAATTCAATGGGTTGCCTCTTGTGACCAACATGGGTTGTTGGGGACCGAGCCTAACTACACAATTCAATGGGTTGCCTCTTGTGACCAACATGGGTTGTTGGGGACCGGGCCTAACTACATGATTCAATGGGTTGCGTCTTGTGACCAACATGGGTTGTTGGGGACCAGGCCTAACTACACTATTCAATTGGTTGCCTCTTGCGACCAGCACAGGTTGTTGGGGACCGAGCCTAACTACACGATTCAATTGGTTGCCTCTTGCGACCAACATGGGTTGTTGGGGACCGAGCCTAACTACACGATTCAATTGGTTGCTCTTGTGACCAACATGGGTTGTTGGGGACCGAGCCTAACTACATGATTCAATTGGTTGCCTCTTGCGACCAACATGGGTTGTTTGGGACCGAGCCTAACTACACGATTCAATGGGTTGCCTCTTGTGACCAACATGGGTTGTTGGGGACCGAGCCTAACTACACGATTCAACTGGTTGCCTCTTGTGGCTGACTGGGAACCTCAAGGGGGTTTTCACTGTGAATACAATCCATACCTTCTTCAAGGGACTTGGTTTCTTGGGCTTTGCATTTTCTCTCTCTTTTCCTCGTTTGGCCGGTGCTGATGAATCCAATAAATTGGCTGACACTTTGGTCTGACAGGAAGTAGAAAATTTACATTGAAAACATTGTTTGGTTTTTCTTGTTTCTGCAACCTCCAGGTTTTTCAAATTTTGAAGTATTCTACTGTCATTAATAAAAGTTTGGCATCCTCAATGTGCTAAAACTGTCATAAATAAAAGTATAGCAGTAATGATTGTCTTGGTGCTCAAACTGTCGTAAATAAAAGTATAGCAGATATGATCGTCTTGGTGCTAACACTGTCATAAATAAAAGTATAGCAGTAATGATCGTCTTGGTGCTAACACTGTCATGAATAAAAGTATGGCAGTAATGATCGTCTTGGTGCTCAAACTGTCATAAATAAAAGTATGGCAGTAATGATCGCTTGGTGCTAACACTGTCATTTATAAAAGTATGGCAGTAATGATCTCTTGGTGCTCAAACTGTCGTAAATAAAAGTATGGCAGTAATGATCGTCTTGGTGCTAACACTGTCATGAATAAAAGTATGGCAGTAATGATCGCTTGGTGCTAACACTGTCATTTATAAAAGTATGGCAGTAATGATCTCTTGGTGCTCAAACTGTCGTAAATAAAAGTATGGCAGTAATGATCGCTTGGTGCTAACACTGTCATTTATAAAAGTATGGCAGTAATGATCTCTTGGTGCTCAAACTGTCGTAAATAAAAGTATGGCAGTAATGATCGTCTTGGTGCTAACACTGTCATGAATAAAAGTATGGCAGTAATGATCGCTTGGTGCTCAAACTGTCATAAATAAAAGTATGGCAGTAATGATCGCTTGGTGCTAACACTGTCATGAATAAAAGTATAGCAGTAATGATCGCTAGGTGCTAACTCTGTCATGAATAAAAGTATAGAAGTAATGATCGCTTGGTGCTAACACTGTCATGAATAAAAGTATAGCAGTAATGATCGCTTGGTGCTAACACTGTCATGAATAAAAGTATGGCAGTAATGATCGCTTGGTGCTAACACTGTCATGAATAAAAGTATGGCAGTAATGATCGCTAGGTGCTAACTCTGTCATGAATAAAAGTATGGCAGTAATGATCGCTTGGTGCTAACTCTGTCATGAATAAAAGTATGGCAGTAATGATCGCTTGGTGCTAACTCTGTCATGAATAAAAGTATAGCAGTAATGATCGCTTGGTGCTAACACTGTCATGAATAAAAGTATGGCAGTAATGATCGCTTGGTGCTAACACTGTCATGAATAAAAGTATGGCAGTAATGATCGCTAGGTGCTAACTCTGTCATGAATAAAAGTATGGCAGTAATGATCGCTAGGTGCTAACTCTGTCATGAATAAAAGTATGGCAGTAATGATCGCTTGGTGCTAACTCTGTCATGAATAAAAGTATGGCAGTAACGATCATCTTAGCACTACGCATGTCGGAAGTCAATGTTAAAGTAGGGCAGCAATGATGGTCTTGGCTATGACTGATGCAAATCATTGCTAAAGTATGGATTACAGTGCCATGAATGTCATAGATATAAGTATAGCAGTAACGATCGTCTTGGTGCTAAAACTGTCATAAATATAATTATAGCAGTAACGGCCCTCTTGGTGCTAAAACTGTCATAAATAAAAGTATGGAAGTAACGGTCGTCTTGGTGCTAAAACTGTCATAAATAAAAGTATGGCAGTAACCGGTTGTCTTGGTGCTAAAACTGTCATAAATAAAAGTATGGAAGTAACGATCGTCTTGGTGCTAAAACTGTCATAAATAAAAGTATGGCAGTAACGGTTGTCTTGGTGCTAAAACTGTCATAAATAAAAGTATGGCAGTAACGGTTGTCTTGGTGCTAAAACTGTCATAAATAAAAGTATGGCAGTAACGGTCGTCTTGGTGCTAAAACTGTCATAAATAAAAGTATGGCAGTAACGGTCGTCTTGGTGCTAAAACTGTCATAAATAAAAGTATGGCAGTAACGGTCGTCTTGGTGCTAAAACTGTCATAAATAAAAGTATGGCAGTAACGGTCGTCTTGGTGCTAAAACTGTCATAAATAAAAGTATGGCAGTAACGGTCGTCTTGGTGCTAAAACTGTCATAAATAAAAGTATGGCCGTAACGGTCGTCTTGGTGCTAAAACTGTCATAAATAAAAGTATGGCCGTAACGGTCGTCTTGGTGCTAAAACTGTCATAAATAAAAGTATGGCAGTAACGGTCGTTTTGGTGCTAAAACTGTCATAAATAAAAGTATGGCAGTAACGGTCGTCTTGGTGCTAAAACTGTCATAAATAAAAGTATGGCAGTAACGGTTGTCTTGGTGCTAAAACTGTCATTAATAAACGTATGGCAGTAACGGTTGTCTTGGTGCTAAAACTGTCATAAATAAAAGTATGGCAGTAACGGTTGTCTTGGTGCTAAAACTGTCATAAATAAAAGTATGGCAGTAACGGTTGTCTTGGTGCTAAAACTGTCATAAATAAAAGTATGGCAGTAACGGTCGTCTTGGTGCTAAAACTGTCATAAATAAAAGTATGGCAGTAACGGTCGTCTTGGTGCTAAAACTGTCATAAATAAAAGTATGGCAGTAACAGTTGTCTTGGTGCTAAAACTGTCATAAATAAAAGTATGGCAGTAACGGTTGTCTTGGTGCTAAAACTGTCATAAATAAAAGTATGGCAGTAACGGTCGTCTTGGTGCTAAAACTGTCATAAATAAAAGTATGGCAGTAACGGTCGTCTTGGTGCTAAAACTGTCATAAATAAAAGTATGGCAGTAACAGTGTCTTGGTGCTAAAACTGTCATAAATAAAAGTATGGCAGTAACGGTCGTCTTGGTGCTAAAACTGTCATAAATAAAAGTATGGCAGTAACGGTCGTCTTGGTGCTTAAACTGTCATAAATAAAAGTATGGCAGTAACGGTCGTCTTGGTGCTAAAACTGTCATAAATAAAAGTATGGCAGTAACGGTCGTCTTGGTGCTAAAACTGTCATAAATAAAAGTATGGCAGTAACAGTCGTCTTGGTGCTAAAACTGTCATAAATAAAAGTATGGCAGTAACGGTTGTCTTGGTGCTAAAACTGTCATAAATAAAAGTATGGCAGTAACGGTCGTCTTGGTGCTAAAACTGTCATAAATAAAAGTATGGCAGTAACGGTCGTCTTGGTGCTAAAACTGTCATAAATAAAAGTATGGCAGGAACGGTCGTCTTGGTGCTAAAACTGTCATAAATAAAAGTATGGCAGCAACGGTCGTCTTGGTGCTAAAACTGTCATAAATAAAGGTATGGCAGTAACGGTTGTCTTGGTGCTAAAACTGTCATAAATAAAAGTATGGCAGTAACGGTCGTCTTGGTGCTAAAACTGTCATAAATAAAAGTATGGCAGTAACGGTCGTCTTGGTGCTAAAACTGTCATAAATAAAAGTATGGCAGTAACGGTCGTCTTGGTGCTAAAACTGTCATAAATAAAAGTATGGCAGTAACGGTCGTCTTGGTGCTAAAACTGTCATAAATAAAAGTATGGCAGTAACGGTCGTCTTGGTGCTAAAACTGTCATAAATAAAAGTATGGCAGTAACGGTTGTCTTGGTCCTAAAACTGTCATAAATAAAAGTATGGCAGTAACGGTCGTCTTGGTGCTAAAACTGTCATAAATAAAAGTATGGCAGTAACGGTCGTCTTGGTGCTAAAACTGTCATAAATAAAAGTATGGCAGTAACGGTCGTCTTGGTGCTAAAACTGTCATAAATAAAAGTATGGCAGTAACGGTTGTCTTGGTTTTAAGATCACTTTGTGGAAGGGCCCTGGACTCTCCACCTCTCCTCACCAATTTCTCCTCTTTCCTCCGCGCGGGGCTCTTCCTCCCGTCCTCCTGAGATACCTCCTTCTTCTTCTGAAACGTACAACATCAGAAGTTAGCGTCGTGCTCTAAGCTGGCGCCACTATTGTTTTAGTTGCTGGGTAACGGATAGTTGTTGAACACGGCAGTATTCCAGCTGATCCACAACCATCTCCGGACATACACAAACTGGTGCTTCATATTGGAGTGAGTGAGTACGGTTTTACGCCGCTTTAGCAATATTCCAGCAACATCACGGCAGGGGGAACCAGAAATGGGCTTCACACATTGTACCCATGTTGGGTATGAACCCGGGTCTTTGGCGTGACTAGCGAACGCTTTAACCACTAGGTTTCCCGACCGCCCGTCTTCATATTGGAAGAGTGGTGGCAGGATACACTGATGCATGACTGGATCGTGATATTTTACTTCCCGATACAAGTATTGATCGCAGTCGCACACTCAGTAGAAAATATTGATTCACATCTTAAATGTTTACCTTATAACTGTTACACCAAACACTGATTAGTAGTGAAAAGTAGTAGTGAAAATTAGAAGTGAAAAAGTAAATATTTTCATCCATTGCACCATACTTGACACTGCCAACTGTAAATCGTCAGTGTGCGAGGTATTTAGCCATCCTGTCTATGACAAATATGGCTAACACACCACAGATAAGAGCACTTACAAGAATCGTGATACGAGTGAGAGCTTTAACCACTAGGCTACCCCACTGCCCCTCATTAACACGAGGTACACACAGTATTTCAGTAGGAACTCTGAGATCACAACATGATATGAATAGAATCTCGTAACAGCGACCAAAGCACCACCTACAAGCATGGCGGAACACAAGGACATGGCCAATAATGGATGCACCCGCTGCATTTAAATTTTCAGTTTGCTATCGAAGAAATGGCATGCAAATGGCAGCGGAAATGTATCAAACACTCATCATGTTGCATCAGTGATCAGAAAACACTGTTACACATCCTACTTGGCAGAAACTCACATGTCCCCATCTTGATCAGGGGGGTTTAGTGTACAATACACACCCTGCTTTGCGGAAAGCATGTGCTTTCCATGAGTGAGTGAGTGAGTGAGTGAGTGAGTGAGTGAGTGAGTGAGTGAGTGAGTGAGTGAGTGAGTGAGTGAGTGAGTGAGTGAGTGAGTGAGTGAGTGAGTGGGTGAGTGAGTGAGTGGGTGGGTGGGGTTAGGGTGTATGAGTTGGGTTTAACATCTCTTTTAACATTATTCCAGTTATATCACGGCGTGTCAGCTTAATGTGGGAGGAAAGCCCAAAGTGATGCAGGTCTCAGACGTTTACCACTTCGGTGAAAACCACGAGCACGGGTATGGTGCTGACAAACTTAGTAACATAATCGGGGCGAACCGGGATTCGAACCCACAATCATAGGTTTCTGGCGTGCACAACTCTGCACAGCGAATCACTACGCCTGAGACGACTGGGCCACCCCGTGAAGACCTTGTTAATGATTGGGACATGGGAGTTTCTGATAGTTAGTGAGACATTTCAGTTTGGACAGTTAAAGATGTGTCGTGGGATTCTCTCACATCAAGAGTACACCTTACAATATAGTGCCATTACAGGGCATTATTCAAAATTATAGACATGTTATATCGCCATAACAGGGTGATATTACATTATACAATAACTGAATGTAAGCATTGTTTGCAGTTCATTGTGCAACCTGCACTGTCAAATGTAACGGAACAGTAGAGTGTGCATATTATACATAGTTTGGGGTAAATATGGGCTGAATTTCATTATTATTTTTTTGCTCATTATTTTGGATATTCCGCAATATCAATAAGTACCGTATTCGACGTAATAAGCGCCCCGCTCTAATAAGCGCCCACGGCGATATTAGCTAATATATTGGCTAGTGAACAATCCAAATGAGCATCCCTTCCAATTCATCAATGTTCACAAGACTTATTCATTCGTGTATAATACGCACTCGTGTGATACATGCAACCTTAATCATGGGCAATTAAATCCTAGAAAAATATATCTGTCGTCCATAAACCTTTCAGGCTGTCAGCATAAACCACGAAATGTATCTTTCAACTCTGTTTTTTTTCACCAAAATAATATTCTAATAAGATACCCCTATTTCTAATTTTGAGAGCGCCCTGGGTGCTTATTAAGTGAAATACGGTATGTATCATGATATCACGAGACCTTTGGGGAAACTCGGCTCTACACGAGCCATCAAACAGAGGCAGCCTGTGATCCAGGTCGGAAATAAGTAGAAATTAAAAACTCCTGTGATTAATCTTGCTTAGTGTGCCACGCCCCTCACCTCCAGAGCCGTGATCATGGCTCCGATATCAAATGCAATTGGCTGCTTTGACTTCTTCCCGCCTCCTCCTCCGCCATCTTTCTTGGCCTCCTGGACCACAGCTGGCTCTGAGATTATTCCCCCTTGTTTGGAACTCTTCTGTGACTTGCTGGAGCTCGCCTCCTGACTTCCAGCGAGGCCCTGTTTGGGTTTGAGACTCAACTCTTTCAGCATCTGCTGCTCCAGGCTGATCTCGGCCAACTCCACCTCCGCCGCCTTGTTGGCAAGCTCTCGCCGTTTCCGCCGTTTCCGGGCACTTTTTGATTCCTGTTTTGAGTCTGAAAGAATAATTGACACATTGAGTGAGGTTGGTTGGTTGGTTTGTTGTTTAATGCCGCACTCATCAATATTTCAGCGGTCTGTAAATTATCGGGTCTCGACCAGACAATCCAGTGATTGATATCATGAGCATCGATCCACGCCATTGGGATACGATGACATGCATCAACCAAGGACACATAGAGGATGAGGGTGGACTCTGAGTAGCCATCATTTCGGTGGCCAAGTGCGACTTAAATCTATGACAATCTTAAGTGAGTGAGTGAGTGAGTTGGGTTTAACGCCGCTTTTTACAGTATTCCAGTTATATCGCTGCGTGTCAGCTTTAAGTGGGAGGAAAGCCAGAAGTGATGCAGGTCTCAGACGTTTACCACTTCGGTGAAACCCACGAGCACGGGTATGGTGCTGACAAACCTAGAAACATAATCGGGGCGAACTGGGATTCAAACCCACAATCATAGGTTTCTGGCGTGCCCAAGGGACGCAACTCTGCACAGCGAATCGCGGCGCCTTTGACGACTGGGCCACCCGTGCCCCCCTATGACAATCTTGGCAACCTAAATGTAATGATGACTGGTGACAATATCTGTTTGAGATATCTGTTGCTCCCTAAAGACGTAGGTTCCTAAATATTCATTTCAGGAGCTTCTTGGCTGAGCGAAACAGTTGAGGATCATGAAAAATTCGGTGTTTTTTTCTGTAGTGAGGCTGGGCACACAATTTCATAAAAACATCCCAAAAATATTCCTAACTTTTTTTGTTCAGTAGATACTAAACCAATGAGTAGATATAACATTAGAAACATAGTTTCACATCTTTTGTTATTTTCAAACTTGTAAGGAACTATACCCAAGGCAACATCGTCATGAATTGGAGCCTTATAACACTTAGTGAGTTGGGTCGGGCACCTCACTGATCGGCATTTCAGTTGTCTCATGGTATGTCGTCATGAGCAGGGAGTGAGTGAGTGAGTTGTGTTTAACGCCGCTTTTAGCAATATTCCAGCAATATCATGGCGGGGGACACCAAAAATGGGCTTCACACATTGTACCCATGTCGGGAATCGAACCCGGGTCTTCGGCGTGACGAGCGAACGCTTTAACCACTAGGCTACCCGACCGCCCTGAGGAGGGAGTGAGTAAGTGAGTTGGGTTTAACGCCGCTTTTAACATTATTCCAGTTATATCACGGCGTGTCAGCTTAATGTGGGAGGAAAGCCCGAAGTGATGCAGGTCTCAGACGTTTACCCAAGAGCACGGGCATGGTGCTGACAAACCTAGAAAAATAACCGGGGTGAACTGGGATTCAAACCCACAATCATAGGTTTCTTGGACCACTGGGCCACCCATGCCCCCCCATGAGGAGGGAAGAGAACCTGAAGTGATGCAGGTGTCGGATGTTTACCACCTTGTTGAAACCCACTAGGACAGGACGGGTATGATGCTGACAAACCCAGAGTGACATGTTCCTATTGATATCTTCACATTCCATCAGTGTATTCAGGTACTGAGCCGTGAACATCGGCAACACACTGACAGCCCCTCCATCACTACTCTCAAGTCATCACTGTTCTGCTTGTAATCAGTGAAGCATGCCCGACCCTCTCTGTCCCTGTCGGCCTCTAATGGTCATCAACATCACGTGCATGTCTCAAGGAATTTACAAAGAAAAGGCCATAGGCTAAGAAAATTTGCCACACTGAATCTGAATGGTCCCGTGGTCACAGGGGATGCAGCAAGCTCCTCACAGCGACAGCCCGTTCGCGGAGCTCTCTATACTTTCGCTGCCACCAGTCATAACTCCCCACTGTGATAGGTGGCCACAACCATGCTTGGAGTTGAACTAGCAACCGAAAAACCGTTATGTTTACAAACAAGTGACGACTGTCGTGACGCCGAATACACTGCTAAATTATTTGAAATTCTGTTTCATTAAAACTATCATGTTATTGATATAGTAAGAATCTAAGGGAGAAGTTGGTTGATTTTCCGTTAGTTTGCAATCTCGAACCAATCTGATTATTAAAACAACAAAGTAAATTCCTCTGGAAACCATGGTCAGTTGTAAACCTTTTCAAAATGAAATATGATGGTATTCCCAAAGACATAAACAAAGGTATAAACGGTGCTACATTTGGGGTTAGAGGGCAAATTTCAATATTCTTTTAATGGCTGCGTCCACATTGGTGGCAGCGACGTTACCGAGAGTGTAACAAAGGTGTCACACGCTGGGGGGGAGCTTGGGCATGCAGGTGTATCTGTCAAGTGGGTTTTTGATAGCTCAGGGTTTATCTACACTTGCTCAGAGGCTGCTATTCAGCCCCTAGTTTGCAGCAAATGATTGTGATTTATAATCCTAAATCATTTGTTTTAAATATCAGAGAGATATTGTAGGAGAGGACACTGTGAACAGGATGCTATTAATGTCCAGGGGTTGTAAATCAATGTATTGTTTTGTTCCTTTTTTTGTTGTTTAACGCCACACTCAGCAATATTCCAGCTGTATGACGGTGGTCGGTAGAAAATCGAGACTGGACCAGAAATCCAGTGACTGACAACATGAGCATCAATCTATGCAATTGAGATACGATGACATGCATCAACCAAGTCAGCGAGTCTGACCACCTGATCCAGTTAGTTGCCTCTAAAAATGAGTTGCTGAAGACCTATTCTACCCCAGTTCTTCACGGGTCAGTTGTGTCCTGGGCCTCGTATCGGGATACACTACTGTATCAGCATATTGTTACACCACTCATAATGTTACAAAAATGGACAAAATCAAATATAAGCTTTTTCATCAAAATTATTTTAAAAATGTGAAGCAGTAAGCATTTCACATTTCATATTTCCCATCTGCTGTTACAGGATTCACATGAATAGTTGTTAGAACTAGAATGGCCTGTACCCTCATCAGATAAAGGAAGATCTAAACATAGCAATTACTTTAACTGTCATGAACTTATGGTCAATGAGAGCCGAACTGCTAGTGAGATAGCTGGACATGGAAATGTAATAAGTAGTTGATTGTGCGTACAATGAGTTGCGGACCAGGTAGACTAGCCTTGCTCCAAGGCTGTACTGAAAGAAAAGTCCATGGATGTGTAGTAATTCTATGCTCCTGATAGGCAAGTCTAGACATGTGGACAGTACAGGGGAATCCACTCTCTTATAGGGAAAACTTGTGCTTATTTACATCATCTAGAAATTATGATTTAAACTAATAATTATTGCTGAGAGACTTGAGCAAGTCTACAGGCAGAGTGTGTCGCTATGACAGCCACCCTCTGCTTCCCGCAGCAGTTGCCATCACAAAGAGACTCGGTGTCCATGGCTGTGGTGAAATATTAATGCTGAGTGTGGTGACAGTTAGCTCCCTCACATGTGTGTCACAATATCCGTCATGGAACAGTGTTAAGAAACAAAAAATCACAGTTACAGTTTAATGGTCGACTCATTTGTAAAACAAGTAGCTAGTAATTAGTCTAACACACATCACTGTAACGACCAACAAGGGAAGAAATACCCACAGACAAGGCGCTGTACCTCCAGAGCACATTCATGGAAGGGCTGTCAATTAGGGATTCTCAGAACTGCTTCTAACTGGGGCCAGGGGGGTATATTCTGTTCTAATCAAACCAATCTCATCTTGTGGAAGTAATGTGACATTCTGACCTAGAAGCATGTGAAGCCTGGCCTCTCCATGGGAACCTCTCGGTTCATTCATGTCGACTCCTACTGGGGCAGCCCCACCTCCCAGGCCAACCTTCTTGTGTATCAGCTAGCTTACCCACAATAGCAGCATATATACACACCATAGCAGCATATATACACACCATAGCAGCATGTATACACACCATAGCAGCATATATACACACCATAGCAGCATGTATACACACCTTAGCAGCATATATACACACCATAGCAGCATATATACACACCATAGCAGCATATATATACACACCATAGCATCATATATACACTATAGCAGCATATATACACACCATAGCAGCATATATACACACCATAGCAGCATATATACACACCATAGCAGCATATTTACCCACCATAGCAGCATATATACACACCATAGCAGCATGTATACACACCATAGCAGCATATATACACACCATAGCAGCATATATACACACCATAGCAGCATATATATACACACCATAGCAGCATGTATACACACCATAGCAGCATATATACACACCATAGCAGCATATATACACACCATAGCAGCATGTATACACACCATAGCAGCATATATACACACCATAGCAGCATATATACACACCATAGCAGCATATATATATACACACCATAGCAGCATATATACACCATAGCAGCATATATACACACCATAGCAGCATATATACACACCATAGCAGCATATATACACACGATAGCAGCATATATACACACTATAGCAGCATATATACACACCATAGCAGCATATATACACACACCATAGCAGCATATATACACACCATAGCAGCATATATACACACCATAGCAGCATATATACACACGATAGCAGCATATATACACACTATAGCAGCATATATACACACCATCATGACCATAGCAGCATATATACACACACCATAGCAGCATATATACACACCATAGCAGCATATATACACACCATAGCAGCATATATATACACACCATAGCAGCATGTATACACACCATAGCAGCATATATATACACACCATAGCAGCATATGTACACACCATAGCAGCATATATACACACCATAGCAGCATGTATACACACCATAGCAGCATATATACACACCATAGCAGAATATATACACACCATAGCAGCATATATACACACGATAGCAGCATATATACACACTATAGCAGCATATATACACACCATAGCAGCATATATACACACCATAGCAGCATATATACACACCATAGCAGCATATATACACACCATAGCAGCATATATACACACCATAGCAGCATGTATACACACCATAGCAGCATA